CACCCAGCAGGTCCTACAGCCAGGACTCTACACCCAGCAGGTCCTACAGCCAGCAGGTCCTACAGCCAGGACTCCACACCCAGCAGGTCCTACAGACAGGACTCTACACCCAGCAGGTCCCACACCCAGCAGGCCCTACAGCCAGGACTCTACACCCAACAGGTCCTACAGCCAGGACTCCACACCCAGCAGGCCCCACCGACAGGACTCTACACCCAGCACGTCCCTCACCCAGCAGGCCCCACACCATTCTCTGCCTGCAGCTCAGATGTTGGCACCATCCTGGCCCTCAGTGACGTGTTGTCTCTTTGTAACCAGAAGAGGCCAGGGTTTGGCTGCCCGATACTAAATGTCACCTGACTAGAGAGGTGAATTTTGTTCAGATACAGGAGATCTGAGGAAAGCAGCAGTGTGCGCCCTCACAACCATGACTGGGTGCCAATGTCTTGGGGCCAAGCCAGCCCTTTTAGGGTGGTTCCAGGGGACAGGAAGGAAGGACCTTGAGAGGGAGCAGCCGGCCAGTATCCCTGGCTGGTGAGGTTGTGCTCCATGCCTCCTCAAGACAACTGTACATTGTCCTGTTTTATATTTCAAGGAAGTAGTTTATAGGCTTCCTTGGTACCGTCGAGTCAGGGCTGACCCTCCAACAGGTTTTCAGAGGCTGTAAATCACATGGAGGAGATTGCCCATCCTCCCACATCCCTGCTGATGGTGCATTCTAACTTACCCATTTCTGTGGGTCATGGTGACTAAATCCTTAGTTCCTGAAATCTCACAGCTAGAGATCAGTCCTGTTAACAGACCTTACTGATGTCCTAAACTTGCTTTGTCTGAGCTCTGTCCATCCCCTACGGCCTCCTCAGTCCTGACCACACGCCTGTGAGGGCCATGACCCCAGGGCTCTATTCCTCACTGTGTGGACACCCGCATGTTTCCAGTTGTTTGATACAAGACTGAGTGTCCACTGAAGGACGGGCAGCCAGCAAGGGCCAGGCCGCCGCCTGTTGCTGGGCCTTTTCTCAGGAGTTCCATCAGTTGAGGCAGCATGAGCCAAGGGGCACCTGTCCTGTCTGCTGAGCTGGGGCTTTGGGTGCAATTTCAGTCTGATGCTTACGGAGCACGTTTTCTGCATTTCCTGAGCTGTGGCCATGTCTCCTTAATGGGTCTTGGTTGTAGGGCAGCCTTGCTTTCTTGGCACCAGTGCAGCTTGCTGAATGGCCCTGAGCCAGGCACCACAGGCGTGGGTGGTAGCCACCATGACCAGTGGTACCCGGACCATCCACGTGCTTGCTGTCTTGCTGAGCCTGTGGGGTCCCTCTCATTTGCTCCATGGTTCCCATGCCTGGCCAGCCCGCACCCCAGGCATAGGAACTCCCCCAGCCCTGTCAGTGTTGGGGTCCGCTGTCTCACACCAGAAGTGAGGCACTGGCCAGAGCAATCCAAGCCCAGGTGGCACAGGCAGTGACCAGAAGTGGAGGGAGGGGCTTGGTGCTGCGTAGGGGCCCTGGCGCTATCCCTGCTGGCCCGAGCCGAGCCTGAGGCCCAATACTGAGCCAAGCCTGAGCCCAGGCCC